AGAGACGGGGTTTCACCACTGTTGACCAGGATGGTCTTGATCTCTTGACCTCGTGATTCACCCGCCTCGGCCTCCCAAAGTGCTGGGATTACAGGCTTGAGCCACCGCGCCCGGCCTCTTTGTTCCTTTTTCTTTCTTTTATTTCTTTCTTTCTCTTTCTTTCTTTCTTCTTTCTTTTTCTTTTTTTTGAGACAGAGTTTTACTCTGTCACCCAGGCTGGAGTGCAATTGTGTGATCTTGGCTCACTACAACATCTGCCTCCTGGGTTCAAGGGATCCTGCTGCCTCAGCCTCCAGAGTAGCTGGGATTATAGGTGCCCACCACCACACCCGGCTAATTTTTGTATTTTTAGTAGAGATGTGGTTTCACCATGATGGCCAGGCTGGTCTCGAACTCCTAACTTCAGGTGATCCGCCCACCTCAGCCTCCCAAAGTGCTGGGATTACAGGGAATACAAGCGTGAGCCACCGTGCCGGGCCCCCTCCATAGACTTTTGAGCAGGCTGGCTGGAGTCCATGTTGCAGACACTCTTCAGTTTAAGTTTTAGTTTGACAGGCATTGAGGTAGCCTCAGTGGGCGCCTCAGTGGGCACCTCTGGGGCAAATGGGCAGGTCCAGAGGGCAAAGCTGATAGAGGCCCCACTGAGCTTCCAGAAGAGTTTCAGCTGGGGCCAAGTAGAAGTTCTCCTTCCCAACTTCCCCTGGGTAGGATTTTCTGAATAGCCTGGGCAGGGCAGCTCAGATTCCATCTGCGCTTTGATGTTGGTGGCTGCTTTCAAATTTGTAAACGTGGGCAAGTCCCCAAAGCTTTGGCACAGACCAGAGAGACTGGTATGCTAATTCATTCACCTAGGGTGCAACCGTGACCCCCTGAGGTTGAGGTCAGCAGTAGCCAAGGTGGGTTGCTGCCAGCTGGCCTCTCTGAAGTTCTCCCATGAGCTGCTGAGAGGGGAGCCACCATCACTCTCAGCAGCTCATGGGCGGCTCCACCCCTCTCCTAACCTGCTTGGGTCGCTCTGGTGCTTGCCTGCCACTATCCTGTTTATCAGCTGGAGGGAAGAGCCTCAATCTGGGAATCAGAAGTAAGTTCTGAGCCTCAGGCTGTTCCTATTTTGCTGCAGCTGGGACAAGGCCCTTCCGCTTCCCGGGCCTGCTTTACCATAAGGTAAGGAGCTTGGACTGTAGGCTCCCTAGAGGCCTTCTGCATACAGTCATCTAGTGATTCTGCTAACTACAGACTTCTGGCAACGTCAGGGGAAGTTTGTCTACACTCAGGCTGCAGTATTTTCAGCAAACGTGATTGGACACATGGGCTTGTGTCTTCCTTATCTTTTGGTGGAGTGAAAAAATTTGAGCCAGAGAAGCCAAATCCTTACAGCAAGCATCATGCAGCAAACCTGGCTTTCTGCTGATTGCAAATAGGCATTTAAAATATCAATTTGAGCCAGGCACAGTGGCTCACTATCTACTAAAAATACAAAAATTAGCCGGGTGTGGTGGCACGTTCCTGTAGTCCCAGCTACTTGGGAGACTGAAGCAGGAGAATTGCTTGAACCTACAGTGGGACCTGGAAGGTGGAGGCTGTAGTGAGCTGAGATCACACAACTGCATTGCAGCCTGGGTTCAGAGTGAGACTGTGTCTCAAAAAAAATTTAATAAATAAAAGTAAAATATGAATTTGGAATCAGGTGTCTTCATTACTTCCAGCTAAAGCAGCATTATTTCCTAGTTTTTTTTGTTTGTTTGTTTTTTGTTTTCTGCTTTTTTTTTGAGATGGAGTCTCACTCTGTTGCCAGGCTGGAGTGCAGTGGCATGATCTTGGCTCACTGCAACCTCCGCCTCCCAGGTTCAAGCGATTCTCCTGCCTCAGCCTCCTGAGTAGCTGGGATTACAGGCATGCGCCATCATGCCCAGCTAATTTTTGTATTTTTAGTAGAGATGGGGTTTCACCATGTTGGCCAGGATAGTCTCAATCTCCTGACCTCGCGATCTGTCCGCCGCAGCCTCCCAAAGTGCTGGAATTACAGCGTGAGCCACTGTACCTTCATTTTTGTATATTCCTGTTCTTTTCTCTTCATTTCCCTGTATTCTGCATAAACATGCCCTCTTGTTAAGTAATTCAAGCATGAGGTCTTGGAATACTAAAATCACAAGCTTAGGAGAAAGAATAAAACTGTTATTTTTCCCCAAAAAATTTCCCCCAATTTTTTTCCCAGTTTCAGAAGATATTTCATTTCTTTTAATAATTTCTCCTGTGCTGTGGCTACCCACGGAAAGCCTGTGAAGTCAAGAACGGTGTAGCATTACACTCTGGTGTCTGGGGTGAGTCTGAACACCAGAAAATAATTTATCTTCTTTCCAGGAAAGTGAAAATGATTTCCCGCAATTTTATAGCCATCTCTGATGCAAGTGTGAGTTTGACATGAGGTCGGCCTTGGCCATTGTACTGCTATTCACCTGGACTTCAGGGCATTAGTCTGCCACCAACCTTTGAAGCTTAATTCCTCAGCTGTTTGCTAATGTAGGAAAGGAAGGAGTAGGAGGGCAGAAACCCCTGGGAATGGAGTTCCTGTGTAATTAAGTAACAGGGGCTGGGCGGGTGCAGTGGCTCACGCCTGTAATCCCAGCACTTTGGGAGTCCAAGGCAAGTGGATCATGAGGTCAAGAGATTGAGACCATCCTGGCCAACATGGTGACACCCTGTCTCTACTAAAAATACAAAAATTAGCCAGGTGTGGTGGTATGTGCCTGTAGTCCCAGCTATTTGGGAGACGGAGGCAGGAAAACTGCTTGAACCCTGGGAGAAGGAGGTTGCAGTGAGCCGAGATCACGCCACTGCACTCCAGCCTGGCGACAGAGCAAGACTGCAACTTAAAAAAAAAAAAAAAAAGAAGTAGCAGACTCCCCGAAGTGCACCTGCTCCGGCACAGATTCCAAAAGGCAGGCATTGTTCTCAGGGATATAAGCCACTGTAGGAAAAATGGATTCCTCGCCCCTCCTTCCCATGACTACACGTTTTTATTAGCTTAGAAATGCTCAGTCATCATTTAGGACTGGAGGCATGTTTTCATAACCTGTGGCGGGCGTGTTTTAATAACCTGTGGCGACTGAACCAATCTTTAAAGCCTCATCCTAAATTAGTGTTTCCTCAGTGATGCTTGAAATTACATTGTCAATTTTTAAGCAGTTTTTGGCTGGCTCTGTTTCTTTTTAACCTGAAGTAAAGAGCACATGCAGAATTAGTTTAAGTCAAACATGAACTGCTTTTCCTCCTAACATCTATCCATGGCACCTCAATGGCATAGTAGCCAATTGTCGAGAACCTACTGGTATTTCATTTCGTTGCCTTACCCGCCGCCCAGCCGCGTGGGTGGCATGCCTGACCAAAAGACTGTGACTGCGTATTAGGACTTTTTTTTACTCTCTTCTGTTGAAAAACAGTTTAGATATTTTAAATATGTGTTAAAATTAACTAGATTACTCAAAACCTGCC